ATGGGGTCCTATGTTGTGGGGGATGGTGAATTGGCCCATGGATGGTGGGTGTAGTTTGAGCACATAACCTCCCTAAAACATAAATAGTGATGCTCTGGTAAGCAATTTGACCCCCATTAAAAAAAAGAAAGCTGAGGTTCCAGAGTGACAGCACAGTGGGTAGGGCATTTGGCTTGCACTCAGCTGACCCAGGTTCCCATTCCCCAGACCCCATATGGTCCCCAAGCACCACCAGGAGTGATTTCTGAGTGCAGAGCCAGGAGTAACCTGTGAGCACCATGAGGTACAGCCCCCAAGCCACAAGAAAGAAAGAGATAAAGAAAAGAAAGAAAGAAAGAAAGAAAGAAAGAAAGAAAGAAAGAAAATAGCTAAGGCCCTCGCACCCCTGACCCAGGCCCGAGAGAGTCCAAAGCAGCGGTCACAGCTGCCCACACTGCAGGACCCTTCTGGGGGACAGGTGAGAGAGAGCAAACACCTCTGTGCCGGGGTGAGTGTCCTCCGGAGTTGAGCTCAGCCTCTAGGGCATCATCGGAAAAAAATGGGGGGGCCTGGGGACCACCCCCACTTTCATCAGCTCCCACTGAGTGTCGCCTTTACCTAGCATTGCCCCAAATATAGATATTTTAATAAAAAATAAATAAAACCTTCCAATTTAGGGGTGATGGGGCCTCCTGGGCAGTGCTCAGGAGGCCAGGGGTCAGTCTCAGGTGAGCCCCATCCAGTGGGACCATTGGTTTCATGCTCTGGCCTGTCCAAGCATCATTTCCCAGGTCTGGTAGGGCTGGGGCCTCCCATAGTTTTACCCACCCACGGTTTCCCCTGATGGCACCGGGGCTTCCCCCAGAGGTGTTAGGGCAGGAACTCCAGTGACCTCTGCACCCCTGACCTCTGAACTCTCCTCTTACCCTTCCTACTGAATGTTTTAGTGTGGCCACACCCCACTTTCAGGCTGAGAGGCAGCAATGTGGGGGTCGCACCTCCCCACCAGGTTTATAAGGAATGTGTGTGTGTGAGTGTGCGCGTGTGTGTTGGGGGGGTAGGTGTCGGCTATGCCCCTCCTGGGCATGTCCAGGCTGGAGATTCTAAAGCCAGTGTCTTGCAGCCGCCTGCCAGGAAGCTTCTGCACGTGGCCAATAAGAACTTCTACTTGAAAAAAATTTTTTTTTTACTTTTGTGTGGGTGGAGGTATGAGTGAGAATTGGCTCCTTATTAAAAATCAAAAATTAAAAAAAATATCCTTCCAGGAGTGGAAAAATAAAACCTGAGCTGAGAGGCCAGTTGGCATCGGGAGACCCACGTTCAAGTCCAGACCAGGCTGGTGTGCCCTTGTGGGACCGTGAGCTGGCCGAACCTCTCTGCCATGAGTTTGTGTTGGCCCTTCCCCTCTGTCCACTTGCCTCCCTCCCAGTCCATGGTCCAGGATGCTGAGAAGTCGGGCCCAAGTGCGCTGCGAGGCCCTTCCAGACATTCTCCCATCAGCTCTCCCAGCTGCGGGAGTGAGGAACCAACGCTCCGCTCCGCTCACTCTTCCACCCCTCCTGGCCACTCTACCAACAGGCCTTGCTCCCGGGCACCTCTGGCTCTCTTCATGCACAGGTCCAGTTGTTGCTGTCCCCCCAACAGGGGCTCCCCACTGGTTCAGTGGTTCTCTCTGGCCCAGCTGACCTCTCAGCCTCTGCCCACAGGATCTTTCCCCCTTTCCATTAGACCCCCTGATGCTGCATCTGGGAGTTTCTCTTGCTGTTCAGACACCCTGGTTGCTTACTAAATGCTCTTACCAGGTCCTGACACTCGGTCACCGTCACCCTCTAAGTGTTCACCTATGGACTGGAGAGATGTTGAAGGGCTAGTGTATTGGTTTCACATGTGGGGATCAGGGGTCTCCTGTGCACAAACACTGCGCTTCCAGGATGTGACCCCCTACGCACCCAGAACTAGCCTCACCCCTGCCCCCCACACTGCCGGGTGTAGCCCTGTTAACCAAAAAATAAAGGAAAGGATAGAATGAAAGAAACAAAATGTTCATATGGATGATGAAAGCCTCTCCATCAAGACCCCGTGCACCCCTCTCAGGACCAGGGCTTCCCAGCTGCCTCTCTGCTCTGAGCAGGACCTTGATGAGCTGCTTCCAGGACAGGGAGACCGCCTCCTGCCAGGTCAGCACGCCCCACCTGGGGCTGCCTTTCCCTCCGACGGCAGCACTGAGGTGAACACACCTCTCCCCAGAGCTGTGCCCTGGCACACAGGAGGCGCCAAGGGGAGCCTCCATACAGTGATGCTGGGCAGTTAAACCAGTTTCAACCCATTCTCAAAGCGGGGAGAGGGCCCACAGCAGCCCACTGTGGGAAGGCAGGAAGGCAAATGCACAGTTGACCTAAGAAAAGGCCCTCCAGGAGCCCGGGAGGTAGCACGCAAGAGGCTTAGGATGTTGGCTTTGCACACGGCAGACCCCAGTTGATCTGGGCACCATGTGGTCCTCTGAGCACTGGCAGGTGTGGCTCTGGGTGCCTCTGAACCGCACAGGGGGCCCCAATACCTCCAGCATCTCATCCTCTGGTCCTTGCATGGAAGCACTGGCCCAGTTGGCTCAGAACCACTAGGAAAGACCCCAGGTCTCCTGAACACCATTTGGGAGACCAAGAGAGCCGAAGAGAGGAAGTGACCTCACACCCAGTCCTCGGAATGACAGCAGACAGAAGTCTTGGCTCCCTGGCTCCACGCCAGCTTCTCTTGAAGCCCCCTGGGGCCGTCACTACAGCCATATGTTATGACAAAGGACCCCTCTTGAGAGGAGCTGGGGCCTTCCACAAAACTCAGAGCATGGACCAGCTCAGACGGGGTTGGACACGCCCACAGCACACCTGGTCAGCCACAGAGACTCTCGGGACCCCCCCAATCTACAGCTCCATCACCAGCCAAATGTCAGTGGGTAGCACAGGACTGTAGCCATTATCTGAAAGATAATCCCAGGACTCCAGATCGTTCACGACCAGGCTCATGCAGTCAGAATTGGAAAATGTGCTTCTATCCCCATTGGATGCAGTTTTGGAGCAGGGTGGGAGGAGTCTGGAGTCAAGCCAAGAGGTACTCAGGGCTCACTCCTGGCTCTGTGCTCAGGGCTCACTCCTGGCTCTGTGCTCAGGGCTCTCTCCTGGTTCTGTGGTCACTCTTTCCATTCTTTTTAAATTAGTTTTTTATATTGAATCACCGTGAGATACACAGTTGTAAGTTTGTTTATGATTGGGTTTCAGCAATACAATGTTTCTATACCCATCCCTTTATCAGTGTCACTGGTTTCTCTCCTGCCACACCCTCCCCACCTGCCCACCTCCCCTAGCCTGTCTCTCTAGCAGGCACTTTCTCTCTCTCTCTCTCTCTCTCTCTCTCTCTCTCTCTCTCTCTCTCTCTCTCTCCTTTTGGGAATAAATGCTTTGCAATATAGTTACTGAGAGATAATCATGTGTATCCCTTTAGCTACTTTCACGACTCAGTTCTTGTCCAGAGTGAGTCCATTTTCAACTACCACCTTCTGACTGGCTCAGGGCTCACTATTGGTTCTGCGCTCAGGACTCACTCCTGGCAGTGCTCAAGGACCCATATGTGGTTCCGGGGGCTTAAACAGGGCTGGTGATGTGCAAGACACTCACTTTAATTCCTGTATTATCTCTCTGACCCAAGCTTTAATATCTAAAGACAACGCAGGAATGATTCTCTCTACCTCTCAGAGAGGCTGTGCGTGCCTGACCCTTGACCCGAGGGTCTCTCAGATTCCAAATTCTAAATCACAGAGTTGGCCCTGAAACCAAGGAAGTTGGCAAACACTGGGTGCCTCTAGGCTGGCTGGGACAGCTGGGTGCTTTTCCAGGGTTCAGACCATCCTCACCCCCTACTTCCCAAACCCCCAGGTGCCTGGGGGTGGGAATACCTGCAGGGTCACTGCCAGGGTGGACGCGCCTTGCCTGAGCCTCTGGAGAGTGCCTGGGATTGCTATGCAGTGGATCCAAAAGACAGCCCAGTGTGTGGAGCCTGTCCTGGGGCTCGTCTGCTGGTCTGTCCCCGACAACAGGGAGTAGGAGGACAGGGTTCCGGCATTAGAGGTGAGTCAGCGGGAGCAAGTTGGGCGTGCCTAGTGGATCTGGATCTGCGTGGACAGGCATGGAAGCCCCTGCAGAGCTGCCAGGGCAGAGTAGAGGCACCTGTGACAGCCCCATCCTTGTCCTCGGGGCCCTTCTCCAATCACAGTCAGGCTGGTGAATCCACCCCAGCTCTGGGGCCTCTGGGGAGCGGGAATTCCCCCAAACTAACTTTTCTTAATTCCCCATGCCTAGATACTGCTTGCACACACACACACACACACACACACACACACGCACACGCATGCACGCACATGCACACGCACACAGACACACACACACATACACACACACACCTCCTAGGGCATCTCCAGCCTGGAAATCATGGAAAGGGGTGGAGGGGAGGGGCCTTGCCCTCCCTTATCCCCTTCCCCTAGCCTCATGCCCCCACCCAACTCCTAAGCCAGCACCTTAAGTCAGGACCATGAATTTCCAGTCTTGAGTCAAAAACAGCAAAAGCACCCTGAGTTCTCTTGAACAACTCCCTTCTGCCCACTGCGCCCCTCTAACCTTCCATACGCGACTGCAAGAGAGGGGACTTGAGCCCCTATGCCCCTCTGGTGCCCTGTCCTAGCTGACCCTCCAGCCCAATCCCAAATTCAGTGCCAGGCCCACGTGCTGTGTCTCCAGCTCCACTCCGGACCGGGGAGGGGGGCTCCCAACAGCAAAGTTGAGACGCAAAGACAGCAAAGACAGACGCTCCCTGCGCGACCTCCGTGGTGGACAGAGAGGAGAGAGAGCAGAGAAGGGACCCTGCCTCCAGCCCCGCTGGTGTGGACCGGCCCTTTGCCAGCTCCCCCACTCCCGCTGCGCCCCGCCTAGGGTGCAGAGCCAGGCGCCCAGGGGCAAAGCCTTTGCAGGCATTACCATGGTGATGCAGGGCCTGGCTCCTGTCCAGGGGTCCAGGCTCCGTCTGGAGTCTGTAGGTCGGTCCGTGCGGGTCTCGGGGCGCAGTCCCGCCTGGCTCGCGCCGGGGCGCGCTGGCCCGGGGCACCGACCAAGGGGTGCGCAGAGCGCGCGGCGGGACTGCAGACAGTGAGAGACCAGAGGCAGAGGCGGCGCTGAGGGGTGGCCGCGGGGGGGGGGGGTGGGGGGCGGGGCGCCGGGACCCCGCCCGGGTCGGCCGCGGCTCCCCTTTGTGTCGGCCGCGCCCCGCCCGCCCGCCCGCCGCGCGTGATGAGAACCAGGCGCCCCCCTCCCGGCCAGGGCGACTCGGCTGCCAAGACTCGCTGTCCCGTCCCGACGCACTTCCCTGAACCACGGGCCCTCACACACACTCGCCCCGCTGTCCACCGCCAGGAGTAAGGGACCCAGGGCAGAGCTAGACAGACTCTTGCAACAAACCCGTTAGAGCCCCAGCCTCATTATCGTGTCTGGGGATTAGGGCAGACTAGGAAAGGTCTTTAGCTTCTGTTTCCTCATCTGTAGAACCGAGATGGTGCTGATGCTGCTGGTCCTGAGGGTGGTGCTGATGATGGTGGCAGAGGTGATGATAATGACGGTGGTGGTGCTGATGATGATGGTGGTGATGGTGGTGGTGGTAATGATGGCAGTGATCATAGTAATGGTGGTGATGGTGGTGGTGGTGATATTGGTGGTGGTGATGGTGATGGTGGTGATGGTGGTAGTGGTGATACTAGTGATGTTTTTGGTGGTGGTAATGGGGTTGGGGATGTGAATTTGAATATAAGAAGTCAATATTTCTTTTTTTTAAATTTTTTTGGGGGGTCACACCCGGTGATGCTCAGGGGTTACTCCTGGCTCTGCACTCAGAAATCACTCCTGACATTGCTCAGAGGACCATATGGGGTGCTGGGAATCAAACCCGGGTCGGCCGCGTGCAAGGCAAACGCCCTACCCACTGTGCTATTGCTCCACCCCCCAAGAAGTCAATATTTCACCCCCACATCTTTCCCCCATGACTATCACACCCAGTCCCACTGTATGTCAGATTCAAAGCTTAGAGATGCGGGGACTGTTTGCTAGTCTGGATTTTTCTGAGTCATGACTGGTGCAGTGACCTTGGGCCAGCCATGGCTCCTTGGCTTTGGAGTGGCATTAGAAACCAGATGACTTCCGGCTGCAGGACTCTGGGACTCTCCTGTTTATTCATCAGACATGGAACAGCATGAGATTCTACCCTTGGCTAATGCACGCTCTGCATTAGTGGAGAGAGAGAGAGAAGTGGGCAGAGAGAGCAATGGGGGCAAGAGCAGTAATACAGGGTTGAGGTGTATTACTTCTTGCCCTGTAGTTTGATCCCTGACATGGCACATGGTCCTTGAGCACTGTCAGGGTCACTTCTGAGCATAGAGAATAGCCCCTGAACACCCATGGCTGGCTCCATGCAAAGGGTGGAAACAGCCTGAAATGGTTTCTACATAAGTGCTCAGCCCACCCCATCCTTAGCTCCTTTATTTCCATATATTTTTTCCAAAAAATACTCTTTCTGACGTGGCACAACTCTACATATGACCCAATAAACACACACACACACACACACACACACACACACCACGCATGTGGGCACAAGCTTATGTCTTTGTTTGGGTTAGCCCCATGCTGTGTGCTCACTTCTCCAAGTCTCTGAATCATCTTTTGTAGGACAGAATAATATTGACTTCCTCATAACACTATGGTGGTGTTTAATAAGTTCATGAATGTAAAATGTTTTGAATGTGTCTGGTACACAGCAGAATTATCCTACAACACATAAAATGGTAGTTTTTTAAAAAAATGTTTGAGGGGCTGGAGCAATAGCACAGCGGGTAGGGCGTTTGCCTTGCACGTGGCCAACCTGGGTTCGATTCCCAGTATCCCATATGGTCCCCTGAGCACCTCCAGGAGTAACCCCTGAGTGCAGAGCCAGGAGTAACCCCTGTGCATCGCTGGGTGTGACCCAAAAAATTTTAAAAAAATAAATAAAAAATAAAAAAAATGTTTTGGGCCAATGGTTGTGAAATCAACTTCCAAATACACAGGCTTAACTATTGGATTGGACCAAATTCATCTCTGGGGAATTTCCAGAGGATTTTCCAAAGACTGCTCAAGTATTCATTTCCTTTCTCTTTGGTAAACGAATATCATTTACGAATCATGCTCCAATCTCTGCTCTAGGTTTTGAGAAATAACTAGCCTTACAAAGGGTGGAGGTGGAGGAAATAGAGAAGCACCAAGGAAGAGGGTTCTGCTACTTACTTACTTACTCTTTCCTCTGGTGCCATAGTTCCCTCAGCACAAAAGGAAGGTGTTTGCGTGACTCTCTTTGCATGACTTTGTGAAAATCCACTAAGATAATGCACTGAAAGTGCTTAAAACAGTGCCTGGAGTATGGCCCCTTGCAAACAGCAGCTCTGAAGATGCTTCTGAGCTTCCCAGGACATGGCAAGTTCAGGGGCAGCTCACTTGAGTTGTCTAATTCAGGCACAAAGTCATGGGATTTCAAACTGTTTTATGCAATAAAAATGTACTTGCTCCTTCGAAAAGGATACTGAGAAAATACTGAGAATATGTGCATATCCTCTCCTACCCATGGTAGACATCAAGAGTCAATCACAGAACTTCCTGTGGCACCTAGAAGCAGCCTCAGACCCCTCCTTAACATAGAGCCCAGGAAGCTGCTATCAAGGACGGTGCTTTGTCTTGGAGAAGGTGCTTGCTTGCGATGTGCAGTCTGAAATGAGGAAGACGGATGAGCTTTCCTTACGCTGGGAAAGGTGGCTTGGCAGTAGAGCCTTTCATGAGTGAGGCCCTGAGTTTGATCCTCAACACCAACACACACACACACACACACACACACACACACACACGTCATAAGATTGCATTAAGGAAGACATGTACTCTGGACACAGACTTGGAACACACCCCCTAATGACCCTTACCATGAGTAGGTTTAAAGCATTGCATACATCATGGACCATGCCACTCAGCCCTCCCTTCGGGAGCAAGCATACAACATGACCATGTATCTGAAGCATTCAACTCCATATAACACTCCTGAGCCTCAGTTTTCCCAGCGGTAGCATGGAGCCGATGACCCCTGCTTCGCCTCCCCACTCTGCCTGTTGTGGGGAACAGTCAATCTCATTTGTCATGTATTACAAGGGACAGAGAATCTGAGATGTGTTCCTCAATCCCCACCCCATGCCCAGGACAGAGTGCTGGGTGTCGGTCCCCAGGTGAGCCCAGCAGACAGAGCCCCTGCCCTCAGGTGGCTCATAGTGTCACAGGTGATGAGATCTCAATGATGAATGAATGCATCAATGCATCGTGCACATCTCAATACCTCCGTGAGCAGAAAACCAGATCACAGATCCAAGAAATCCAGTCACTTCCATGAGCCTGAAAGGGCTGTCATGAAGCTGAGACCTGAGGAAAAGCATTAAGTCGGGGAAAAGCATTAAGTCCCCCAAACAGCATCTGGGACATCCCCGTGGTTGGAGAGCAGCCTGGAGACTGTCAAGCGTTGGAGGGAGGGGCCGCTGGGAGCCAAGGGGGAGGCGTGGGCGAGGCTCGGCGGGTCCAGATCGATCCCAGGCTCTGACTGTTCTCCGAGTCACAAGGCGCCAGGGAGACAGTGGGGAGGGAGTAACATGATCGGATTCCTTTGCTTTGTTTTTTTAAAAGATTCCTCTAGCAGCTGGGGTGGAGGAGATGGTAGAAGAGAACAGGGGGCTGTCTGGGGAGCTGGAGGAGCAGCGAGGACGGTGGAAACCAAGAGACAGAAGCCAGAGGACGACTTAGCCCCAAGGTGGCCCTGCTCCCCTGGGTGGGTCCTGCCGCCCTGGGCTTCCTCTTTTCCTCCCAGTTCAGCCCTCTCTTGTTTTCGTGGGACAGACTCCATCAGTGACTCAACCGGAACTGGGGTTTCTTGTTCCAGCCGTCTCCCCGGCCCTGACTATCCCCTGCTGATGGGAGCTCTTTGGAGCCGGCACACTTGCCCCCCCTCACCTTCTGGGAGGTGGACAGCTGGGTGGGAGGTCTAAGGCGGAAGGACCTGGGACCTGCCAGCGTCAGGCACCACCCATGTGCCACCCACACTTTCCTGCTGTGGTTTTGGTCATCCGCTTGCTCTGCCCCCAGGGCCCCCTTTCTACAAATCTTGCTTGTCCTACCAGGACCAGCTGCCCAGGGGAGTGCTGCCAGGTGTCCGAACTGATGTGGCTTCCTCCTCCCCACAGCTCCTGTATTCTCTGTCCCCTATGTCCCCCTTCCCTCCCTGCAACACACACAGCAGAGAAGGCAGACGTGCAACATGGGGCTGTGGATGCAGTCACGGGGGCAGAGAGAAGGGGACCACCCCTGGAGGGTGACCAAAGGGGTCCTGGAGGAAAGGACATTGCACCTGGGTCATGAAGGAGGAACAGAAGTTCTCCCAGGATGAAAAGACATTCCCAGTGATAAACAAACAAAAAACTGCATGCATGGAAGCAGGGGTGATTAAAAGCCATTTCTGCATGTGTCCAAGGTCCCAGGTGCAGAGGGAGAGAGAGAGAGAGAGAGAGAGAGAGAGAGAGAGAGAGAGAGAGAGAGAGAGAGAGAGAGATGTAGGGGTCAAAGCAAGCAAACATAATCCAACAAAACCAGGTTAGTTGTCCGTATCTAAACATAGGGAGCAAGGAAGCCAGCTTATATGCCTTCTACGCCCACATACATTTTCTCCAGCTCAGTGTGTCCACCTGGCTTGCTGTACTTAGTCATGTGACTTCTTGGGTCCGCAGGCACTGGGATTGCACCCCAGAATCTAGACTCTCTGCTCCTCTAACCCATCCAGGATCCTGACTCAGGGATGTCTCAGGGACAGTCACGTCAGGTGCTCAAGAAGTGTCTGTTAGCTAGGTGGAAGGATAAGGTGGTGATTTTATTTATTTATTTATTTATTTATTTATTTTTCTTTCCTTATTTTTCATACTGCGAATGAACCTAGTTTATATAAAAGCAAAACAGTACATACAGAGTTAGTGTTCGATGGCACAGCGGGTAG